TAGCCATGGTGGCTGGGGAATTCTGGAAGTTGAAGTTCACCGATCTTAAAGTTGTCAAGGTTGAGAAACACTGCCATAGGCAAAGGCCGTGAGTTTTGTGGTCTGTAAATACTATGTTGAAAAGGAAAAGTGCAACGTGAGCTATTTATTATTATATTTTTACATTGCAAAGCTTTACCATTGCAGGTACCTCCAACTGCATGCAGAAGAAATATTGGTGCAGAGTTGAGCATAGTCAGATCTCTAAGCCATATTGGCTAGATTTAAAATTCCTAAAATATTTTGTATTTACATTTCTACCTGCAATAAATATTTTGGCAAATTAAAATCACTCCCACGCAGTTGATATATAATCTGGTATTGCGTTTGAATCTGTTATGTTTGTATAATTAAATTCACCTTGTTGGATACTATAAGCAGGAATGATTTTCTTTAAATTTATAGCTTACATCATTGCAATGAGCTATTAAGCTGAAGCCATTTAGATGGCTCTGAATACTTGTATGTTTCACTAAGGGAAAGTCAATGTACTTACTTTCATTTTTGTTCACATCTCAGGGATGCTTATAGAATTAAAAAAGAAGAAGTCAATGGTTAATTATTAATTAATACAGGAATCACATGTCGATTAAAATACCCATTAAAGTGAGACCTAGAATCATATGCCTGGAGCGACCTGCAGGCCATCTAGATACTGCTCAATGACTTCCAGCAAAAGGAAAGCTTATCAATATATTTCTCCTAAAGTTTACTGACATGTATACCCCACATTTCCTTTGCATGTGCACGGGCTGCCTGAAATAATAGAAAGCAGAAGGGGGGAAAAAGCTTCTGATCTGAGGGTGATAACTGCAGAATATGGAGGCACACACTTCCAATATAAAACAGGCACATTGTAGTTCTTTCTGCATTAAATCAGTGCTGAACTTAAATACAAAGCTGATTGTACCTAAAATTCTGTTAGGGTTCCAGCACTGCACACCAGCACCTGAGCCACGTACAGCTTTCCACACCAGAGGAATTCTGGTGCAGATACGATTTAAAGTGCCCTCCATGTCATTAATGCAGAAACCAGCATTTCACTTTTTAGGGCTGCAGATCTATCCATATTTCCATGAGGTTATTGTTGAATAAGCACTAAGCGCTGTCTGCCATTTTCCTCATAGTTTTCAATCCAATGGTTATGTTCTGCAAGTCCACAGTCCCACTACTGATGATGAACTATCAGTACAAATGACACGTTGCAAAGCTGTTTACAGAGACAATAATGTGCCTTCTATTACAAACAGAACGCTAAATTTCTGTGCTGTTCTGGAACGATGAAGAAAGAACGTGCAACTAAGTTACAGATTTAGAAGCACACTTTAAAACACCATTCGCTTTAGGACACAAATTGGAATGATGATATACCAACTATCTTCTGTTATAAGTTCATAATGTTTTGTCCAGAAAAATTAAAGTAGTGAATCCCTCCCCCGAACTAAAATGATTGAGATGCAGGCCTATTGTTATTCAGTTTAATTTACAGCAAAACATATTGCTGGAGTTAATCTAGTTTCAGTTAGATGAGGTCTCCCTGAAGGTCAAGAAAACAAGATTATTGAGGATGGAAATCAACATGAGAGATGGCAGAAGCACAAGGTAAAATGCCAAGAATAAAGAGATTAAGTGATTAAGCCTGAGCCCTTAAGTCATGCTTTGTGTGCAAATTCAGTGGCCCTGATGGAAGAATCCTCATCCCAACATGGAAATGTAACATTTGACTGAAAATTGAATGAAGAATAGCCTAGGATTTTTCATTGGGAGAATATTTGAGCCTTAACTTCTCAATATATATATCACCTGTTAGTAATACAGATGCAGCAAGCAACACTTTCTAGAAAATACGTTTAGGAGTACCTCATCCCCAAACAGATTGACAGAACAAAAAAAACAAAAACAAAAATTCTCAGAGTAAAATGGCTTTAGAAGGAGAGACACAATGGAAAATAGGATCTAAAGGATATGCTTGACCATAATAAAATTTAAGCTGAGAAATGAAAATTGCATCTGAAGGAGTCCACTGACATTTTGCTCTGAGCTGAACCATTGTGAGAGAAACAAGAATGCTGTAACCCTGTAAATTTGAATCTTTTCACACAAAAGGACCATTTGCTATGGCTTATTCTAGTCTGGGCATGAGGGAAATGGGCAAGCAATTCTTCACAGGGACTGACAGAAAAAGTCAAGATGGTGGCCATGACAGTGTGATCCACCTGCTTTAATGTGTGACCATGTCCCGCAATTCTTGAACCCTAGATAGATAGAAAGGGTTTTCTCTTCCTATTACCTCACAAGATGCACATGGAGTTTAAAACTGGCATAATTCAGGAATTGTAACTGCTTAATTGGTCCAGAAGACAATAATTAGAAAAGTATGCTCCAGGAGTAGTTTAGGAATAAAAAGCCATACAAGCTGGGTCTTTTTTTAGGAGAGGATGCAGTAAAGGAAATTGCCTTGGGCCCCACATATGGAATGGGCCTCATCCAGAGTATGGTTAAATATTTAAAATAATAAAATGGATTAATCTATTTCCTTGAAGACACTACATCGGTTAAAGTAACATTCCAGTAATTATTTCACTATTTTGGGTTCCCCACATACTTCAGTTTTCAGTGGATAAAACACAGTGGAAAGAAAATCACATTATCTCATTTTACTTTCAATCTGCCTGTGAGAAGGCAGGGAGAAGTGAGGGCCTCAAACGAACCATGTTTGCTAGGGGAGAGCGCTGTGCACCATGGGGCAG